ATTTTTGAATGTATTCATGCTGTCACCTATAAGAAACTGAGAAGTCTACCTTTGTGTCCACAGTAGTCCCCTTAACAGTGGTGCATTCACAAGAAAAGGAATTTCATTTAGACATTGATCAGGATAACAGGAATTCAGATGATCAACTTCAAAATGATTTAAAAATTATCCAGTTCACGTTAACATTTCTCATAGTTGAGTAGTTTTTCAACTCCCCGCCAATTTTGAAATCAACACAGTCGTCAATGAGAATCATTCAGTCGAGATCATAAGTTGTTAGAAATGAGATAAAGGTACTATTATGGTAATTTACTTGGTTGCGGCTAGGAAAGAGACAAAACCACACACTACGTAAAATTACATCCAGCTAACGAGTCCCGAATAGGACGAAACGTGCATTCTCGATTCTTTTGTTAACCACAAGCAAGTAAATTACAGTAATTAACATTCAGGCAATATCGAGGCATCCGCATACGAGACCATATACCAATAGAGGTTGAACAATTCGATCCAGTGAAACAACGGAGAATTACAAGCGTATCAACAAATAATGATCAAAGATACTTGAGTAGTTGGAAACAGCTCAGGTTGATCTGTAGTATTTCGCCGGCCAGAATAGAGGGATCTGAATACCGGACGAAGATTTCTCTCGTTTAAGGCAGAGGTCATCAGCTCAACATCATCATCTAACTGGTGAAACGCTTCAGATAAGACTGTGGTTTTTAACTACTCAAACTAGTAAAAGTGGAATTAAACATCTCACTACCGGAGTAATAGCGTGTCTGTTTCCATCTTGTGTGTGTGTGTGTGTTAGTGAAGTGTAGGCGATTAAGTGTCAATTGCTTGAATACAAGCCACAAGAAGGGATGCTTTGTCTCGTGTTTGTTGTCAGTTATTGCAACGGCAAATCTACAACCTTCAGGGGAATGATGTTCCCTTCAGAGATGTCAACCTACATGAACCAATGCTGCAGTCAGAGTCACGATTGACCTTCAACAGTTTTTCCCAACTGCATCGGTCGAAATGTGATCGATTCTAAGTCAGTCCAAGGAATAGATGTGTATCAGGTAGAGAATCAGTGAAAGTTGTTTCGATTTGGTTTGAGACCGGTTCTCTCTTGAAAGATTCACCCTAAGATGATGAGGTTGTAATCTAATGATTCACATTCTTTGGTTGACATCCATCCTTGATGGGAGAAAGAAGCTTAGAGAATAGACAGTTTCAACGAGGTGGCTATCGTGCCCCACTGGCTTAGTGGATAAGTGAAGGGCACCGGGTTCGAGCCCCACTGGAAACAACACCACTCCGCACTGGGGTGCTGCTATATCCAGTTGACGAGTCTCAAATAGGACGAAACACGAATCTTGAATTCCTCTACCACTCACCAAGACCAATATAGCTTCCAATTTTGTAGTCACAGCGATTTTTTTACCTCCCTCACAAGAATATTTATCTTAGAAACAGCAACAGTTTGCTACAGTTTCTATATTCTAGTAATTCTCAAGTCATCTTAAGTCATAGGCATTCACACATACGCCCTACATATGTGTATGGATGAATCATTCACAACAGAGTTAGTTAGTTAGGTGAAATATTGAAGAAACCAAAACTTTCCTCTCTCCATCCCCCTCCTCCTGCTTTCCCACTTTTCCTGTCCCTGTACTCCTCTCTTCTCCCACTTCTTCTAATCATTATTATACCCTCTCTACTGGGGATAGAGATGTAATCCTCAGACAATAATCAAACTGTTAAGCGGACATTTGAGTGGAACTGATAAATTTTTATAGAGTAAAAAGTAATCCTAATCCATATCGCCTTTATAATCTGATATTATTTTGTCAGAGTAATTTAAATCACACACATGCACACTCTCTGACTTTGTGTGTGCATTGATGTGTGACATATTCGCTGTCCTAGTGTGTGCGTTAATTCACTGTATAACACATAGACTACAATTCCAATAAGTTTATTACCAAGATCACCCTACATCTTTTGTCTAATAAATAATGTATGAATTTATTGTTGATTATCGTGCATTGTGCATCCACCACCATTCACACAACACAACGATCTGTCTGTCTGTCCGTCTATCTTTTTCTGAATTGGATGTATGTAAAGCTTATATAGTAAAATTTTTAAGAATGACGGAAGACATACAGACAAATTCAGAATCATCTTTTTACAAGTGAAAGAGGAGATAAAAACAACGACAACAGCTTCCCCCGCTTCGTTTGTGTTTCATTTTATAAGTAATGATTGTATAACTAATCATAAAAAAATACCCTACGGTATTCATTAGTAGAAGTTTCACGGGAAGTGGAATTTTCTGACCATTCAACTACAAGGCCAACGTTTTAAGACATGAACGATGAAGAGGCCTTATTAGCGTGTGTATGTCTGTGTGTGTGTGTGTGTGTGTGTGAGTGACGATCATTTCATGAAAAGCATTGTAAACAATCTACTTAACTTGAAGGAATGGTAGTTGGGTTTATAATGATTAGAAAGGAAATTTAGTGGTATGGGGTGGTGGTGAGGGGTGTGGGGACGAGTATTTTGTATCGGTGTCCGGAAAACGAAAAGCGCACAATGCAATGTTGTATTCCTGTGTGTAGTAGATTCGTGTCTCCTAAACGAACATGAAATATAGTTAAACTGCTTGATGGCATCTTTCCGCTGCACATGTTTGTGTGTGTGTGTGTGGATGTATGTCTATGCATCATTAACATACAAAATTAAAATGATGCCTTGGGGAGCCGAGATGAGGAACAATTCCACTTATCAGTTCGTAATATGGGTACACACACACACATTGAAAATGGACAAGCAACGAAAACAGCATGTATTCAAATCATCCCTCAGCATAATGAACACTCATGCATATAACATACCCACCCCCCAACGCAAATTAACACAGATACACGCATTTCTTTAGATGGATTAAAACGAAGACAAGATTTTATGATAGTGGGGTGGATTAACTTTTTTTGACCATTTTTCAATGGATCCGCAATTATAACGACGAGAAATTCAACTTTTCACTGATTGACTTGCGTGTTATCTACACGTATTCATTGATCAAAACAATATGAAAGGAATTACTGAGAAATAACGAACTTGAGATAATTGAACAACCTTTATATCATTCGATGAAGTGAATGTTGTCAATTATTAGATCTGATATGAATCGTCAACACCTTAAGCACGTTTACGATTGATATTCACTCAACTATATGTTATAGTATGTGTAGCATACTGAGTCGATACAGATTTCTGTGTCAATATAATTTCCATGGAATGATTCACAAAATGGTATACGGTTCAGCTGGCCAACTATTGTGTTAGAAGGATTTCTGTTGGGAGTCACACCCCCACTTAGCCAAGATCTCTGACACCAGAGCTTCATGAACTAGAGAAGTAGACAATTTTCGAGGTAGTTATGGGGATTTGGAAAGATTTGAAGTTGTTATTCACTGTAGACTGACATCAGTTGGAGGAACATAGGAAACCTAGCAGCACTGGACGGCTGTTTCGTCCCATTAGTTTAGGGCTCCTCAGAAGTGCGCACCCATGACCTCACCCAGCCAGGTTATCGAACCCGCAACCTCCAGGTTTCGATCGCCAACACGTTACCATTGAGCTAGCCACTAAGTCACAATCCAATGCTCCATATTTCCAACTTCTGTTACCCCACGATATAGCTCAACCACCACCCAATGTCATCTCCAGAACTCCCTCAAAATTCTATTCAACTGGTGTTCATTGGTGACTAGCTTCGAGAAGTATTCCCGAAGTTCCAATGAGAAGTCGTGACCGGTGGGGGCAAAGCCAGATGGTGGTGAGGACAGTTACTCATCGATGACATTGGGTGGTGGTTGAGCTATATCGTGAGCAAACAGAAGTTGGAAACATGGAGCATGGGATTGTGACCCAGTGGCTAGCTCCATGGTAACGTGCTGGCCGCGGGACCCAAAGGTCTCGGGTTTGATCCCTAGTGGAACAGGGCCGTGGGTGCGCACTGCTGAGGAGTCCTATACTTGTGGGACGAAACAGCTTTCCAGTGCTCGCATGTTTCCTATGTTCTTCCAACTGATGTCAGTCTACAATGAATAACAACTTGAAATAGACTGCTTAATAAGATGAATAGTTGGGAGTTAATCATACGGATGTGTAGGTTTCTTCAAGCAGATCAAAGTCATACAAACACTGAACAGTCAGTCGTTTTCCTAGTTCAAGGTTGAATTAATCAACGGTGTACGTGGAAAGATTCAACCCATCTTGTTCCACAATCTGAATATTCAATTTTGATCACTCAACAACAGTTTGATACAAAATGTTTATGGAGATTTTATCACAGAGTAATATTAGTTGAAAAATCACTGAAAACTTGGGATCATTGGATAAATGTTTCATCGTTTTATGAGACTCCTCAGATGTGAAGGCGAGGCGGATGTCAACTGAAGATCATGGTGAATTGTCGTACTACATCGTGGACTATTAAAATCCGATCCAGTGACTGAATGCTTAACTCATTCGCCTTAAGACCTGCAAATCATAAGTTCGACGCCTGAGGTGGTCATAGGAGTGTACTATTGAGGGGTCGTATAGTAGGATTTGGTTCGCCAATTAACTTCAGTTCGTGATGAATAATACCCCCAAAATAATTGACTCTTAGCACAGTTGGTAGAATGACGCTTCGGTAACTTTGAATCTCCTGATTCGAGTCAGTCAAATAGTCTGAGAGATTGTTCAGTCGTAAGTACTGACAAAATTTCACTGTCTGTTTCAGACTGGATAATATGGAATTGGTTACTTTGAAGCGATCAATCAGTATAACCAATTCAGTTCAAGTACCTTATTATTCATGATTTACAAGCAAGAGGTTCATATTTATCAGAATAGAGAACACATCTAGTTACATGAAGAACTAGAAGAAGGTATGTTTCGAAATCTGTTAACTGAAAGGGGGTGTCCCTTGCAGTTCTATGGAGAAACATATAGATATGTACAGTGTGGAATCTGAGCAAATGATAAACTGTTCAACAGAAAAGCAACCCTCAAGAAGTTACAATTTACTAAAGTATCTACACTAGATCGAATTTTATGCACCAGATATTTGCTTATTAAAATCTTAGTCTGTATAACACCAAAAGATAAAAGATACATCGTCTATTGTTACTATTTGCATATGTGTTTACCAGTACAATTATTCATATAGATAATAAATTGATATTTTGAACACGTGAGCAATACTATCTGTGTTTTTTTAAACATCTACCATTATAAGTAGTATTCATCATGGACTGACGTCAGTTGGGGAACCATTGAAACCAACTGGGAGCACTTGACAACTGTTTCGTCCCACTAGTATGGGACTCCTCAGCAGTATGCACCCACGACCTGGCTATGGATCGAAGTCAGAACCTTCAGGTTTTACGGCGGAAGCGTTAACCACTGAGTCGGTTTCCAGTAGTTCACAATTTCCAAGTTCTCAGTGGTAAACGCGTTCGCCTTAAAACCTGAAGGTTCTGAGTTAAATACCTAGCTGGGTTGTGGTTGCATACTGCTGAGGAATCCCATACTAGTGGGACGAAACAGTTGTCGAGTGCTCCCAGTTGGTTTCAATGGTTCCCCAACTGACGTCAGTCCATGATGAATACTACTTCTAAAATAAATAAAAATCCCCATTCATCTCAAAAATACATCTACCATTATAATGAATAAATAAAACAATGAAATCGATAAAAAATGGTTTCATTTTGTTGGCATTCTGTTCGACAGTAACCATTTAATCAATAAGTTTATAAACGGGGGGGGAGGTTTGAATTAAAAATCAGTTTTACCACATTATATTGAGAAACATTAGTGGTTATCAGTTTTTCTGTCATTGAAATTTGAGTTTACTCTGAATATTGAATTGTCAAAGTGGATCAGTAGAAAATTCTTCTCAACATTCAATTTACTTTACCAATAAACGTATGAAGTAGGAATAAATTCATCATTGATTCCTGTCCTAGCTGATTATGCTCATTGATAAATCAGTTTCATCTTTATAAGAGATATTTGGATGATACATTCATCATCTGTGAGGTGATTAATAACTTTGAATAAAGACTAAAAAAGTACAGTGAATGTCATTATTATTTTTCCTGTGGTTTCCTAGTGGAACATACCACATAAGTAGTATGTCTCCATTCCCCTCTCTTCTCTGTAGTCTCCTCAACCTCGCTGCACCACTGCCCACAAGTTTTCATTTCCTCCTCAAACCATCTCCTCCATGTAACCCTCGCTTCACATGCCCAACTCGTCCTTTCCCTTCCGCATTTCACTCGACGGCCTGTTCTGACTCAGTATGTCCTCAGTTGATCTTCTCAGTGTATGCCAAATCCAATCCATCTCCACATCCTCCTTTTGGTTGTTGATTAGTTCTTTACCACAGTTCCTTGTTGCTTATTCTTATTATTCTGGCCATCTCATCGCCATCCTCAGTATCCAGTGAGCGTATGCAGCAGCTGTTGATCAATGTTTGTAGTTTGTTGGAAATACTTTTCGTGACACTCCAAGTTTCTGAACCATCACATAGAAACACTGACTTGACTGACATTAATGTTGAAAATCCCGATCTTGTTTATTGTGCTGAGTGCAGTAGATCTCCACACTGATTTCAGATTTGTGAACGCCTGTCTTGTTGTCTTTCCGATCCTGGCTGCTTTGACATCCTCATCCGTGTCTGTGCCACCACCTGTAGTTGAAAGGATACTGCCTGACTAGGTAGGTGAAATAGACTACTTCGTTTTGCTTTCTCCCGCTAGTGGTAATTGGTGCCTCTTGTTGTTGATGCTATTGTTGGTTGGATATCTTCATCACCTCTACCTCTGTCTTCTCTACATTCACTTGAAGACAGTCCCGTCTTCGATGCCCTGTCCTGCCCTGACCTGCCCTGCCTCTTCTGTCAACTTGTCAGTTTCCGCCTGGAGATCTTCGACTGTGTGTGACAAGACAATGGACACAGATCATCATCGTTGGCGAAATCCAAATCTTCTCATGGGGTCATTTCATCGGTCCAGCCAGTGTATCCCCCTCTTCTCGCTCCTCACTCTTCACTGCATCATTCAGTCCAGTCCACCACAATCATGGGTGATGGTAGGCAGCCTTGTCTTACTCCTTCTCATCTTCACTTCAAAGGTGTCACTGAGCTTTCCATTATGGATCACTTGGCATGTGGCATGATTTGTGGCACTCCGTAGTGTTGAGGCAACAATGAATGTCATAAGTCAATTAAATTTACCATGGTAACTAAAATGAACTGAGAATTCGAATTACTGGAGGTTTGATTGAGAAGAAGACATGATAGTTCCTTCAGATGATTGATTTACAGAAAGCAAATCTAGAAGTGACAGTATACAACTTTTCAAAACTGAATTCCATCAGTGAAGAAAAGAAATCTTACTCATGGACAATAGACGAGAATTCGAAGAAGTTATTTCGATGATCCAGTGAATCAGGAGGTGGAAATACTTCGAAGATTCTTTGTCAAGAATGATTCTCCATTGAAGAATGATTGAAAGAGAAATGAAGCCTGAGAATTTCAAAGAAGGAAGCCCTACGATCCCGAAGAAGTGATTATTTATGAATATTGGATTCATGTGAGATACCTTGATACAGATACTGACGAATCGATTGTGTGAAGTACTGAAGACGACCTTCTTTTCCATTGAGCTTAGGATTTTTTTTCTCTAGTCAACAACTGATTCGACAGTGTATCACTTTGGATCACCTTGATGTGTGTTTACCAATTCATCTGCTCTTGTAAAACTGGTTACCATAGTTGCACAAATCATGCTCTATCCAAATACATCTCAGAACTTTATCCTGCATAGCTCTCTGAAGGACAGTGTAAAGCCATCAACAGCTTGATTCTTGAGCACAGTGCTTCATGAGTTATCGATAAATTGAAGGTAAATACTTCAAAGGAAGTGCATTTTCACCGCTTCAACACAGCAGAAGCTCTGGCAATCCAACGATACGAGTTTGATGTTCCTATTCAAAGGAGGTATATTGAATTTCTAATTTTACCTTGGTCGTAATCTCCTTAAGACAGTTTACTTATTTTACGGTTTATTTACTACGATCCTGTAAGCGATTTTTCATCACCCTATGACTTTATATTGGCCCATTAGCCATTAATGGGTATACATTTTGTTGTAACTATGATTATGATGACTAGCGTTTGAAAATCATTTGTCGGAAAGGAAATTTTCCTCTCTGGGTTGTTTTTTATTGGTTCATGGTTATTGGTGTGTACTGCTGAAGAGTTCTATGTTAATGGGATGAAACGACTGCCCAACACTCCCACACTAAGGGGTATTAGTCCGTGATGAATAAATACAACCTAAAATCAATAAATAAATCTCTGCAAACTTCAAAATACAATTGTGTATTTATTTATTTTAGTCTGGTTGCAGCTGAGGAGAAGTAGCGAAACCAATAGACACTATGAAAATCTTGCTTTTCATACTTCGATGAAAATCATTAACGGAACAGATTTTATACGTTTTCTTAAGAATTACCATTCTGAACATGAAAATTTTCAGGGGTTAGTGGAAGAATATACGGGGTGGTATCATTAGCTAACAGATTATGTAACATATGGAGGGAAAATTGAGGTCAACTTATGTGATATACTTCGAGATGAGATTCACAGAAATTCTAGTAAGAAGTTGTGACCTGTTTGACAAACCATGTAGGATGTGAGGGTAACATTATATCGCTGACTGACAGAAGTGGAAAAATGTGAACCTGTTAACCCCGATCCAGTTGCTTAAAGACAATGTGTTAGCCGTAGAATTTGAAGGTTGTGTGTTCGAACCCATGAGGGGTCACGAGTATGCACTGCTAAGGAAAAAACAGCTGTTGAATGCAATAAACTTATAGATTGTTGACAAGGTCATCACGAAATTGTGACTTGAAGATTTACGCATCATTCAATGCTGAATTTAGAGGCATAATCTTTATTTTGTTTATTATTAAAATGGTGGGTATTATTTTCAATCTACTCATAAGTAGTTTGCAAATATCTGTGGGGGTATGCAAATAATCACATGATCTGATGAAACTTGATCGAGTACCTGAGACTGAATAGTGTTCAGTAAGAAGTCCCTTGTTTAGAAGGCAATCTGGCGTCAGGATGTGAACTGACAACTTTTCTCTGATCGGGTGTAGTATAAGCCGAGTCTAGTCAGACTCGATCACAAAGACCTAAATAAAGGCTTTCGGTACTACCATCAGCCTAGACCAAAGTTTATGGTATGGAGTTCGAATTCAAGCAGGCAGTACGCAATATACCACTTCAGCTGATGAGGCATATCATATAACAGTTTGATGAAAACCATCAATGCGATTTAAGTGAGATTCAAATCTGGTCAGCAGATGAATGTCGTGTTTTAGTCCGCAGAGAACCGGCTTAGCAACCTAGAGACCACTGGCTCGATTCCTATGACGACTTAGGTAATTATTCCGCCTTCAACCAATATTACGTATCGGTAATACCAGATTGACAGACGCCGGTTGTGTAATAACTTAAAATGACAATTTGGTGTCCACTAGGCAGTTGTCATACCACCAAGCTAATTTGACGGATACTTCGGTTACTAGAAGACCGATACAGGAGCTTTATTGAAGAAAGTCCAAGCTAAACACTTCGATTCATCATGATAGGAAACGAGTAACTTTAAAAACCTGCTCAACAACTACACAGATGGAATGCACTCTAGAAACATGTAGTAGGCAATGAATTACATCTATTGTTTGAGAGTTATTGATGATGCTACCTAGGCTGTAACAGGGAACTCTGAGAACGAACCAACCAAGAACCTATCACGCAACAAATATGCACTGGGAGGAAGTGGAGATGGATTGGGCATGCACTGAGAAGGCCGACTGAGGACATCACGCGTCAGGCCAGTCACTCGAGTGGAATCCCCATGGGAAGCGACGAGTTGGACGTCCGAGGTGAGGGTGACATGGAGGAGGTCGTGCGAGGAGGAAATGAGAGGTTGTGGGCTGTCGTGGAACGAGGTTCAAAAGATTTTGGAGAACAGAGTTCACTGGAGACGTGCTACTGAAGCCCTATGTTCCACTAGGAACCTAAGGGACTAATAATAATAATAATACCTAGGCTGCTCAAACCTCGGTAGGTGAAGCGAAACTATAACTCTAGAACTGCTAAGACAGCCAATTGCGTTTATTTTATGGAAAACCGCCTTTCTAGACAAAATAGTGAAACATAATTGATCATAACAGCAGTTGCTAGGGTGGTGTTTAGAATCATTAGAGGAAACAACAGATAATAACTCGCAGTTGTTCGTTGCATAGGAGCTCAGTTAACATGATTTTCAAAGTTGGGGGGGGGGAGATATTAACTGTAATAAAACTAAGTTTTTTCGGATAGGGGTGCAGGTGAGTGAAGGGTTGAGGAAAGACATTTCCCTCAATTGTTAAATAAAACATGAGAAAATATTAGATCTTGTTGACATGCTAATTATATTGTCACGTTTACAGGTGACTAATACGTTTGAGAAGCAAAGCTCAATGTTGGATACATCCCCACGTTGATTAAAGTGCAACGTTGATGTTAGTCTAAATTAGGAGAGTACTGAAAAGGCAGAAGGTAGAGACACATATCCAATTAGAACACGCCCTTACATACATTTGAGATGGGCTTTGTGTTTTGTAAAAGTGTTTTGCTTCAGGGCTTATATATTAAAAGAAATAAACAAGAGAAATGTGATCACACAATAGTAACATAGCAACTATACAGAACGACTTATCACTAGCTTGTTTACGCCATAGATATGTTGAATTGTGAAAAACACACCTTTGTGAATTTTTTTAAAAATTTTAAACGTAAACAGATTGGACCAGAGAGAGAGAGACATGACAACAGGCTCATGTAGAAACATTATACTATAGCATGGAAACAACAGGGAAACAAAAAAAATAATATCTTCGATTAAGAACATCCATCGGGTGACTTCAAAGACCACCCTAACAACATATGAGATAGACAATTGAGTATCCGTATTTTATGATAAACTACCCTGTCAAATAAAACATCATTTCATTACTTGCAGGGGTGACCTGTAAAGACATTCAAACATGAAGTTAATATTATGATTATTATTATAAGAAATAATACTTTTACACATGCTTGTACCAAAACCCAGTACCAATATGCCGCATACGCCAATCACACTAGCAACACAATACACCACATTGAAATGAATTGACTATGCAAACCTACAACCACTACTACTGCTACTCACACTATTACTAACATCAGTACTACTACTCACACTACTACTGCTACTACTACTACTACTACTACTACTACTACTACTACTACTACTACTACTACTACTACTACCACTACTACTACTACTACTACTACTACTACTACTACTACTACTACTACTACTACTACTCACACTACTACTACTACTACTACTACTACCACTACCACTACTACTACTACCACTACTACTACTACTACTACTACTACTACTACCACTACTACTACTACTACTACTACTACTACTACTACTACTACTACTACTACCACTCACACTACTACTACCACCACTACTACTACTACTACTACTACTACCACTACCACCACTACTACCACTGCTACTACTACTAATCAGATTAATGTTGATGTTTCCCTGTCATTCCTTATCGGTATTCAATCTATCTGTTCATGATATAATTGTTTCAAGTAATCATCATGACATCATGTATACATTGTTCAAGTTTCCTTCAAAAATGTTTATTTCATTTTCAATTCTGTGTCCATCTATCAACTAGGTCATCTTTGTTACCATAGTTATTCACAACCTGTAACCTTTTCTAGTAAACAAATAAGCTGGAACTCAGTGGGTATCTTTTAATTAATAATTTCTGTACAGTCAACTTCATAATCGTATAAAAGTTTTTTTTTTGGTGAATAGAGTTTTCAAGACAGAATTTACTAATGGTCAATTTTATTTTGTATATTACAACAGGAACATGTGGTTTTAACCAAACACTTATTATTGTTCCTATGGTGTATGAGAGACATAGCAGCCATTTTAATGGATACTTGGAATCAACTGTCAGATAGACGTTCATGTTTTACATGTGTGTTCATCATGCTGTTTGCAGCATCAAATCTGGATGTAAAGATGAAAAAAAACTGTATTTTCCTCAGTTTCAGGGTTGATTGCCTCCACCCTTTGATTAGAATCAATCAAAGCTTACCATAGGGGTAGTTGTAGCCCAAACATATCAGTAGTGACCTCATAGAGTTCACCACTGGGTGATGAGGGTTCGAATGTCTGAAGTTGTGTCAAGCTGAGCCGCATACCAATCACCTCAAACCATCAACACCACGTTGCTGAATCTCTTAGCATAGTGCTAACATTGCATAATTGACCTAAAGTATTCTTCTAACTGGGTGATAATTGAAGATGCAATAAACATTTGGACCACAACTGGATTCGAACCGCCGGGTTTCGGGCCCTGATGCTCTGCCAACTGAAGTGAAGTAAACAATGTGGTCAGTGATCGGAACTCGTAACTCAGTTGGTAGAGCAATGAGTCGGAAACCTGATGGTCGCTGGTTTGAACCCAGCAGCGTTTGAAATTTTAATTTCATCTTCAATCATCATTCAGTATAAATACAAGTCTGCCAATCCACGACTATGTCACTCAGATAGTCAAATGATATTCCTTTGACACAAGAGATTAGAATAAATGATAATTTGTCACTGTGTAATGTGTGATTAGCAATACAATACACCTGCATAACTTCAGGAGTTATACTGTTTTACCTCTTCAAAGTGCATCAAATGTATCGAATATCGACAGGCTGAACCAATAAAACAGTTGTTGAATGGATAAATCATCACTACAATATACTTCTTATGAATGGATCCTTTATCTTCAACTCTGTATTCATATAAGTTGAATGGAGACAATCGTGAGGAAGATCTGCTTGACATGGAGTTTATGCTTGCTGTCGCTTGTCAGCAAGACATATCTGTCTGAGATTCGAACATGAGTTACACAGCGTTACAGTCGACGATGTTGGCAATGAGCTATTTAACCTGTGATTGACTTCCTGTATAGACTAGCTTGCACACATTAATTATTCACCTGAGAGCAACTAATCTCATGTTATATAGTTGTGATTGCAGACTGAATTTTATCGATCAACTGTGAAATGTGGTCACCAAGCAAAGGGGTTTACCACTGTAGTGCTTTTTCATGGTTTTTAGTTGGTTGGAGGGAATCAGTAAGAAGCCCAACTTCATAATAGGTCTCTTTTTGTTGTTGTTGCCACTCGTCAGTAAGGTGCACCTGTAACCTCGAGGCAACCGATGTTTGAATCTGTTCAAAGAATAAGAATAACTGATAAACCGATGACTTGATCATGTATTGTAAAATAGTTTTATGCGTATTCCAACTGATCCTGACTAATTTGTCTGCTATCTAGAGTAATGTTAAAATAATGTAACAGATGAGATTCACATTGCTTCCTTCGATCTCCACCATAATATAAGTGTTCTAAATTACTCTAGCCACTCCTTTCCAGTGCTCTCTAGTTTCATTTGCACTCACTCCAGTGCTGATGGTGAAACATTCATGGCTAATAATCGAAATCAACATAAGAACAGAATATTGTCTAATGTTTGCCTGTTTATGTCCATTAAATCTGACAAAATGCATGAACTATATCCTATCTATGTTACCAGATTAATAACTGGGATCAATCAACTGACCGATCGATCGATCTATAAAGTTTCATGCAAAATGATTGGATCCAAATGATTGATCACTATTGACATGTAAGCAGATGTACGGATGCCTTGATGTTTGTTACCTGTATTTTCAGTGATGAATTCCATTATGGATAGTGGCTAGTAGCGGAATCCAGGATGCACGTTTCATTCCATTTGGGACTCGTCAGCTATATGTACCAGCTTTGGTAGCTGTCATCACTCACTGGTTTAGACAGTAATGCTTCGGTATTGAAGCTATGGATGCTGGGTTCGATTCTCAATAGGGACAATATCACCTATTGGATGACAGGCACATCCACTTGACGAGTAACAAATACGAAGGATTCCACTGCTAGCCACTGTCTATCAATTAACATCTTCATACAATTCATTATCATGTCATACAGATCCAAATTTGATTTAACCGTCTAAAACGAACCCATATTAACAAAAAACGTGAAATAAACGAGCAAAATGGGATGATAAATGTTGAGTCCATCTTGCTGTTTAGCGATCGATGAAAAATGTTGAACTGAATGATAACTCACGATAATACTCATAAGCAACCAAAGTTAAAGTTGAATGTCAGAAACAAGCCACATATACATACATACATACATACATACATACATACATACATACATACATACATACATACATACATACATACATACATACATACATACATACATACATACATACATACATACATACATACATACATACATACATACATACATACATACATACATACATACATACATACATACATACATACATACATACATACATACATACATACATACATACATACATACCACAAAGTAAACTACAACATAATGAATATTCAGGCACCATCGAGGTCTCTGTATATGAGGTTTTTTGAAAACATGTGGATGATATGTCCACTATCTTGAAATCAGAACATATCGAAATTTTCCTGGCACCTTCTCGGCAGAAGTGGAATCCAGTTCATTCGCAAGTAAGAAGAGGTTTGAAGAAAATTAGCCATATTGGACTGCGAAATTAGACGAAGAGAAAAATGGTGGTTTACATAGTATTGTCTACAGGAAAGCAACACATTGCTGTATCCAACATCCAAATGTCAATTTATGTCATGCAGGTAGAAAACTCCCTCGTTTGTCAATGGACTTACATTAAAATACTGATCAATAATTATTCTCCAAAGTTTCTCAAGAAATTTGTAAAAACGCTTCAGGAACAAGGTAGTAATAGTAGTTTACTAATTGTCCTTGAACGAACTTGATAGACACAGAGGCCAACCACTAATTATTCTTACTTGTAACATACCCATGAATGTGAGACAGAAGAACACAATAGCGTAGCCAGATAAAATAGTATATCTGAGAGGTCTTACCAAAACTAGCTGGCTAGAGGGTCGATTACGAGCAATGCAACGTAACACAACATCGCGTCAAATGGCGTGGATACTTGACCATGTGCCTACTGCTTAGCCAGCCCGATAAAACTATGAAGGTAAGCATCAGTGTTGAATCTTGTCGAACCCTAGGCTATTGATTCTGGAGAAGTGTGTGACGCTACAGTAGTATGAACAGTCACAGGAATACAAATTGAAAGGACTCTACGTCTTGCGTTGTGTTATGATGCAGTGAATGGACATCAGAGGTTTTACGTGGAGTTGTCAACAAAGCTGGAACTAAGTTGACATTCAAACTTACAATCTCACACGGAGATAAATTTTGTCAGCTTAAGTATCCTATTGGTGTAATTCGACACTATGGGATGATTGTGACGTCAAATACATTGGTAAAACTAGTTAGTCGAGGTCGCTTAGATGATCGAAGGATACAAATTCAACTGAGTGTAGAATGACAGATCCAAGAAAGATCAATAGTCTAGAAAAAAATCCAGGTATTGCAACGTAGGCATTGATACTCAACTACACAATAGTGTGGGATAAAGCCGTTGCATTTAGTTGCAATATATTTAGGTGGAGAGAGAGAGAGAGAGAAAAATCGATTACTGAATCTTTATACTGGGTGATGATTGAAGGTGAGATGAAAATCTGGACCGTGGCCGGATCCGAACCAGCGACCACCTTCACCTTCAATCATCACCCAGTACTAATACTAGTCTGACAAACTACGGCTATCTCAGATAGTCATATCATAATACTGAGTCCTTGTTCATAGAATCAACACCCAACACATGTAACAGGAATGACGCAACATGTATGCCAGAGATATGGAAAACTTTACTGCCACTAAAAACAAAGAACAGATGTCGAAGTTTGTGTGACTACTCCGATATGATTATGAAAGATAGTTTGTGCTCGAAACGTCATCCAGTAAATACTGCCGTATCATTGTGTGCTGTACATCACTATCTAATATGGAATTAGATTGTATCACATAGCTAAAGTTATAAACTTGTATTGGCCGTTACACTCTGTTATGAAAAGATTGAGATTCGGAGATAAAGATCGTTGGCTTATTCTTTAATAATAGGAAGAAGGTGGTGCGGTTCCGTCTTGATTCAGACCTGATTTCCGTTTATGAGTGATGAAATAATACTGCCAGGGAAGGGGGGTCGACGAAACTGGTATACTCAATATGCTTAGTAAGTTTTTAACACTTCACTAAATGACATTAGATGGTGAAATGGAGTGATCTTTGAATAAGTGGCTCCGGGAAGGCTGTACTGGTATAACTGGATTACTTCTCACCATCATCAATATCAAAATAGGACCAGGCATTACTACGTAACCCTCCTAGTTGCCACACCTCATATCAGTACATCAAGTACAAAGGTAGTGAAGTGAAGGATGAAGATAAGTGAATGCAGTCAAAAGAAATATAAAGTATGAAAAGAGAGAAAGGAAGAATGCGAAAATGGTGAGATTCAGTATAGCGTCGTCAAGATGAGGATAGTGTGTGTATACGTCTGCGCCACTGACATCG